GCGTTTGTTTGATAAAGTTGTAAACTTGTTTTATTTTTATTGTGTAAGGAGATCTTATAAAAAGATCAACTTTTTATTTTATTTGAGTTTATTGTAATGACTAAAGTTGTAATAGATTCGATAGCAATGAAAACAGTAACTTTCGATGCAAACAATTTGTACCTTCGTGTGTTACCTCTAATATATGCCCAATTTGATGGGCTAAATTGTAAGTAGACACGCGATTGAACTCGTTCTTATCCAAGGCACAAAATAGTGCATTCATCGCCCTTGAGTCCAGGTTCACATTTGTTCTTTGTACAACTGTCCATTCGGTGTATGGAGTGGTTGGCCTTGCGAATTCAGTCTCTACCATGTTCCAAAGTTCATAGCCAAGAGATTAGAGGTAGATCTTCATCTGGTACTTTCAATAGTTGTAGTTTGTGCCGTCAAAGAGAGGTGGTCACTGTGTGGAATGTCCCTCTTTGAATTGTGAAGTATTTGATATACTTGATGATGCCATCTTTCATCTTTCTCTGATACCAATTGTAGGGTCCTCTTGCTTATATATATAGCAAGTGTAGGATCGTGACTCTTAAGAATAGAGTACGTTCTTATAAAAATCTACGGAAGCTTTACACTTAAACACTAGAGGTTGAGTTTGCAAAGTTAGATTATAAATTACAAAGAAAGAATGGTAATCTCAGAAAGTGAACATCACAATTGCAAACATGTATACTGGTTCCACCTCCCCGGTGTACATCCAGTCCCCAAGCAAATCTCGCTTGAGAGTTCCACTATGATTTTGAAAACTTACAAAATCAAAAGCAAAACTGACCAATTTGCAAACCATACAAATTGCAAACCCAATTGACAATACCATGCTAATTGTAAACCAACCTTTAGACTAAGAGATCAACCCCTCTCACAAACCGAGAGAAACTTTCTTTGAAGCAAGTACAAATCTAATCCTATAAGCCTTGAATGTGTTGTGAACATGTTTCTCACTGTGGCTATAGGTTTTTCTCTCTGAAATTTGCCTAAACACTTAGTATGAAATGATTAAAGGACATAGGCTATTTCAGAACTTTTATTCTAAGGCAAAATCTAAATTTTAGAACACTTAGAATGCACAAAATGTTTAATCTTTTGAGTGCAACACTTATTATTTGTTTTCTGACATTTTTCCTATTTATAGCCTTTGAAAAGACATATTTTTAAACCCAAATAACACTTTAAAATAGCTATAAACAGTCATAGATTCAAAACCTGTAACAGTCAGAAAACTGTCTTAGTAGTCGACTACAAGTCTTAGTAGTCAACTACTCCGAGTTCAGACAAACTTTGTGTAGTCAGTATTTTTCTTAGTAGTCAACTACTTTGTCTATTAGTCAACTACTCTATAAAAATAGAAAGTCTGGAATTCAAATTCAACTCTTATTAGTCGACTATAATGCCTAGTAGCCGACTAGTCTGTAATGACATAGAAATTGATATTCTATCTGTGTCTGTTGTAGTCGACTACTCATGCTATTAGTCGACTATTAAGGGTAGATATGAGCTATATGATATGTTTTAAGTCTCACTCAATATCTATTAGAAAGAAGTTGACCAATCGAGAATATTTGCAATTTATTTTCTAAGTCTGTTAGAAAGAAGTTGTATCGAGAGAATTGTAATTAATTCTTTTTCTGAGCTTGTTAGAGAGAATAATACAAATTTAATTCTCAATTGTCTTCTTCGAATTTTCCCACCAAACAAAGGGCTTCAATCCAAATGCCGCCAACCTCCATTAGATATCATCATGAAGGCGCAATCCAACCAACCTCCGATGTGAGGATCTTTGTGTAGAATACCTAACAAGTAAACACAAACACTCGGCAAATGATGTTAGGAATTATTTGTTAATCATCAAAACTAGATTAGTTAGTAGGCTTTTTAAACATGAGACCTAATAAAGTATACATAGAATAATAATGCTAATAAAAAGAATGAGACAGAAATATCTTGTAGTTAGGGTATGCTTACGCCTTAACAGTCGAGGAAGCTGAAGAAGCTAATGATATGATTACAGATATTATTCTTGTTAGTAATATACTACACATGTATTATTCGATTTTGGCACATCTCATTGCTTCATTTTTGTTAAGTTTATTAATGATAATCATATTCCATGTTATAAATTGTCTGAGGGTTGGAATATTATAACAGGTAGTGGTACCTTAGTATCAGATGAGGATCTCATATGTGTCCCATAACGATATGTGGACCAGAACTCTATGCCAAATTCTTTGTTATGGACTCATTAGGTTATGATGCAATATTAGGCATGGATCGGTTATGTGTTTTTCATACATGTGTTGCTTGCCATAATAAGAGGATAATGTTTAGATTGCCTAATCATCCAACATTTATATTCCATAGGGGATGCAAATTAGGTAATCCACTGGAGTATCGTGCTATACCGAAAGGGTTGTCAACCCTCATGAGTTTAGAAGAAGGAGACATAGCATTAGACGATGAGAAGCTAATTCCGCTTGTTGTACAAGAGTTTTTACATGTGTTTTTTGATGATCTTCCAAGATTACCACCTAAATGTGAGTTTACCATAGATCTCATATTGGGAAGGACACCTATCTCAAAACCACCATATCACATGGTGAGTAGAGAGCTTGAAGAGCTAAAGGTTCATCATTGAGAAGTTGCTTCATAAGGGCTTCATCAGATCGAGTGTTTTCACCATAGGGAGACCTAGTTTTTCTTTTTTAAAAGAAAGATGGTAGTTGCAAAATGTGCATTTAATATCGAGAGTTGAACCGACTCATCATAAAAATAAATGTTAGTTACTGAGAATTGATGATTCGTTCAACCAACAAGTAGGAAAAATGTGTTTTTCAAAGATGATATTGGATCAGGTTATTATTAGTTGAGGGTTAAAAAAGACATTCCAAAGACAACTTTTAGTATGTGTAATGGACTTTTTGAATTTCTTATTATGCCATTTCATGTGACGTACACTCTACCAGTCTTCACTAGTTTTTTTAATCATGTGTTTTCATAGTAGTTAGATGAGTTTTTATTGGTATTCATTGATGATATCCTGGTGCACTCAGAGACACTAGAAGAGCATAAAGAGCATCTCGGGTTGATTTCAGAAATCACGCAGAGAACATCTAATTGGCAAGTTGAGCAAGTGTGGATTTTGGCTAGAGAGCATATCTTTTCTAGGCTATATTATATCTTTCGAGGATTTATTAGTTGTTCAACTTGAAATCAATTTTGAAGATAACACCACCAAAAAATGTAGGAGAAGTTTCTAAGAAGGGTACTATCGAAGATTCACAAAAATTTATTCATGCATTGCAGCACTGATGAAAAAATTATTTTGCAAGAACTAGAAGTTTAATTGGACAGTAGAATGTCAAAAGGCATTTTAAACAATCACAATTTGCCTAATGACAGCACTAGCTTTAACATTACCTAAAGGGAGCTAAAAATTAGCAATTCTTGCCGACGCTTCAGGAATGAGAATAGAGTGTGTATTGATGTAGAATAAGAAGATGACTACTTATGCTTCACGATAATTGAGGCCACACGATAGGAATTACCCTACACACAAATTAGAGTTAGCAACAGTGTTTCATGTGTTAAAGATTTGGTGACACTATATTCTAGAGAAGGGTAGAAGTGTTCACCAATCACATATGTCTTAAATACATTTAGATCTTAAAGGAGTTGAATATGTGCCAAAGGAGATGGCTAGAACTCATGCCGGATTATGGTATTGATCTTCAATATTATCTGGATAAAGGGAATGAGTTAGTGGACAGAATATTTACAGAACATAATAAGAAATGTTCCATAATTATTTGGTAACCCATTTTTAAGTATACATCCACAACCACACACGACATGAATATAAATAAAAGGTATATCTCTCATCACAACAATATCAACATCATAGAAATAATCAAGCAGAAATAAATAGAGATATAATAAATTATCCAAGTATCACGTCCACTAGATAGATTACTCCAATATTCAACAATAATATAAATAGTCTTGACCCAAACATAGCCATAAAATTTAGATAATATGTCTGAAGAGAAATCAAGAGATATCTAATATCAAAATTAAATAATTAAGTTCTATTTCTTATTATAAGCTACTGCATAGCCCATGCTATCTCCTCATAACCTGCTTATTTAAGTAGACTTGGTCTGTAACAATTGGACTCACTTTGTTACCTAAATAAAAGGTCTGCAAATAGGGTTAGACATAAGGTCTAAGTGAGCAAATATGAAAAACTATAAGATTCAATGGTTATCTAATTAAATATAATAAAAACTTATCCGCTAGATAAGAAAGAAATATGAATCATAGAATAATGATCATAAGCTCAACATCATACCTCAAATTGTACACAACATATACATAAACCATATTTTAAAGGTATTAATTACATTTTTATTTGGATATGAAACAATTAATTTGTTCACTTAAGATGGTTAGACATAACTAATAACTAATCATAAATAGGTACGCATGTAGAAATTCTCTGGCCAACCAACCAGCATTAAGTCACGATTACTATAGTCTTACCCCTCATCCCACTATTATTTAATTGGCACATGTGATCTTATGCACTATCTTTGTCCAATAGCAACCTCACACAACTACGGTAGTACTTACCAGAACGATCCAGTTAGGGATAAGCTACCAAGTCGACTCATGTATTAGGACTAGCTATATTGGGTGCACTCCATAGTCTAGGACACCTGTCTCTACACCTAACTACATATACAAAGATTGGGTGTAACATCCTATTGCATCATCTCAAGCACAAATTACTCATAACGATTCTGCTATACCATTCATTCACCTTAATCGAATCATATAACATATTTATCATGTGTTGAGTTAAACTGAGTGTTCAAAATCTATCTACCCTTTAAAAGAGGGAGTTCCAAAGAAACTTTACCCTCCCGAAAATACCCTTCCACCAAATTTAATTACCGATGTGTTTTTTCGATTTCCGTTTTTTTTCTCATTTATTTTCCCCCAAACCGACGCCATCCCCTTTTCTCCCCTCTCAACCCCTCGTCGTCGCCTCTCCGATTCGCCGACTCCCTCATGAACCGATCTTTCCAAAAAACCTAAAAATTTGCTCCGAGTTCTTTAGATTTCGTTAGTTTCTGGCTCGATTGTTTGGGATTTGATCGGAGATGGCGGATGTCGACACTTGACTCTGAATCGGGGCAGTTTCTTGTTGATTCTACAGAGCCAAAGAAACAGCCTGAGGTTATGATTGTGAGATTTTGTGATATTGGGAGATCTCTAGGGTTTGGTCTCGAATGTTCTATTGTGGTAGCCGGGAAGGACGAGAAGTTATTATCATCATGATAATCTGATTTTGGACTGCATGTGATGTTTTCTCTCTTTACAGCATGTTCTGATCTTGATTCCTTTTGTGGATAGGCTATGTTTTTCCTGAATTTCAGCAGTGAGCAATTTGATGCCTTCAAGTCTAAGTATCATGAGGTGGCCTCAACCTTCAAAGGAAAGGGTATAAGCTTTCTGATTGGCGACCTTGATGCCAGTCAAGGTGCTTTTCAGGTAGTTAGCATGCACTTATTTTGACTTCTCTATTTTATGAAACATCTAGGTTGTCTCCTTACAAGTTTTACATGTTCAAATAATATTTCGGCCTTAAAGAAGACCAAGTACCTCTTGTTGTCATACAAGAAAATGATGGGAAGAAATATCTTAAGCCAAACGTGGAACCTGATCAGATATCCACCTGGTTGAAGGAGTACACGGTAATTTGCTTTCTTCTACTGTTCTAATGAGTATTTCTGCCTCTGAAATTTACATATAAGGGATTGACTTCTGGTCTTTTTGACTTATCCATACATCCAGGAGGGCAGCTTAAAACCATTCAGAAAATCAGAGCCAATTCCTGAGGTTAACAATGAACCTGTCAAGGTGGTGGTTGCTGATAACCTGCATGATGTGGTTAACTCAGGGAAAAATGGTTTGTTTTCTTTCTCCCTATTAACATCTCTTAGTCTTTTTAATTACGTCCTTAGCTGATCGCGATGAGGATGATCGCGATGAGGATGCTGCTCGTGATCAGGTATTAGATGAATATTCATTTAATTTAGTGTTCTGTTTTGATGTTTGATGAATGTTGGTTCTAAAAGTAGAAACTTGATATTTTGGTTTGTTTGGATATCTTTATTCTATTTTTAGTGAAAAATTAAGTCCTGCATTGCTAAAATAGTGATGGTTGGTAGGTGGATGGAGGTGAGGGCATGAGTGGCGATACTGTTGGTAATTCCTTACGAGGGGATTTGTCTGTATTTGATATGGATCTAAAATTGTGAAAGTTGCTTTATTAAAAGATACATTAATTTGGTTGACAGGAAATACAGCTGCATAGGTAAGTATTCTCGTATGTTTAGATTTGCTATATTTTGGATGCTAAATTGTAATCGGAAAAGATAAGTACAATCATAATTTGTTTTAAAAAAATGCAGATTTGATGGGAGCAAAAGATACAGTTTTCCAAAAAAAAGAAATTGATAACGAAAAATATGTCACCTTATCAAATAAATTTTTTGTATAATTCAATCTAGAGAAACCAACGCAGGTTTTGCACCGATTGGTCTTTAACCAAATATTGAATTGCACTTGAAATACATTTTTCGAAAGAAAATTGCAAATAGCCCTGACAAATTTATTTGAAATGGATTTTCTACAATGTGTAGCATGCAGCATTTACTACGATACACTTTTGCCTCATATCAAACATGCTCCAAGTGCGAAAGTAAATTTCATCTACATGTAAGCGAAGTATGATGTTTGTTTACAAATAAGTTGTTTTTTGAGCATGTTTCACTACTACTTATTTTTTGAGTCATTATAAGTTATTTATTACTTATTCTCAACAAAATTTATAAGTATTAACTTATAAGGAGATATAAGTAGTTATATGTTTGGTAAATCAATAACTTATAAGGTCGGGTTAAAATTTTGAAATTAAAGTGTGATACCGTGCAATTTCCTATATATATATATTTGCATTATCATACTAATTGAAATTAGTCTCGTTCTGTTTTCTACATACTTTGGAAGGATGGACTTAGGTTCTGCTGGGTAACTGCACTCTTGAATTCTAATTTGTTTTGTTTATTTTTTCTTCCAGTACTATCTAAGCTTGAACCGGTCAAGATGTTGCATGAAAGGAATATGTACAGGTATGTACCGGATTTTGTTCCTATTGATGAGGTAGTTCTGTTAGATACACCTCAGATTTTTTTTTGTTCAAAGGTCTATTAGTGTCTTGCCTTGCATTGCATTTTTATCTGAAGTGGTTTTTGTTATAATGCTTATTGCTAACGTTTTATATTGAGTAGAATTAGGAATTTGCTCAACTTATTGACTCCTTCATGGCAAGCTAAGTGGCTTATCTACTTTTGTGAAAGTCATCTACAAAGATTCAAGAAATAATTTGGTGAACCAAAGCTTCAATCCATACTCCCAAAATATAGTAAATACAATGCACTACTCCTGCACCCGACAAAATCTATGTTTTAGTTAATTGGAAACCTTATACCATTGTTGCTCAAAATATCATCATTTCCAGCACTTTCCATCTATTCAAAAAATGTCTACCCGTCATCATTTACATCCATCTTCTTGCTTGTACTTCATCACTGATTCATTCTTTAATTATGTTCAAATTAGATAAGATTCATGGTGCATATGAATGAATTACAGGAAGGAGCCCAGAGGAAGCAACCTGAATGGGGATTGCAAGCTCTCCCCACTTGGGGATGGCAAATGCATCGGCAAGCCACATTGTCATTGTTCTCTTCTGCAGCAACATCAAGATTCTCGACTAACTTGGTTACAGCCACAGCTCATTCACCTTATCTTCAGTTTCCTCCACCGTCTATATCTAATGCCGCACGTTTGTGTTTCCCAGTTCATTTATTATTTTCCTCTCTATAAAATTATTCATGCAGTTTGTGTTTGAGGATTTGGTACGTGGTATATTCACCTGAATCTGGTACGTGGAACCACATTCCAGAGAGGTAAGGACATTCAACATACCACAATAACCTGAATCCTTGAGGGTCTAATTCTAACCAGAGTATATATGTTGCCTATATCAATTTAATCTTTCTACTACTATTTAGGATGTTTTTAAAGTTTATGAAGCTTGATCTCAACTTTTGGCAACCGTTCAATTGAAATAATTCGATTGCCTTGCCTCTTTTGAAGTGCCTTTTTATGAACCAGTATGTTTGCATCAAAATTTGTGACATGAAGTTTTGTATTCTGAACATGGGGCTCCTTTCTCATTTACCTTGTCTTTGGTTGGTTTAACTGTAATTACGTTCTTGATGGCGCTTATGCTTAACATGGTGAAACTTTACAGGATTTTGGAATCCTGTTGAGGGCCGGTTGCATACGTCTAAAGTATTTCTTTTGTTTGTGGTTCTATTATTGATGATCTAAATTATTTTGAAGTTTTAATTACAATTTTTTGTGTTTTTCTGTGGAAGAATTGACCTTTGGTGATTGTTCTTTTTTGCTATTTTATCCATCCATTTTAGAGATAAATGGATTGGTTCATCTTCAGTCTGCAAAAGTGTCAAACTGTTCAGGAATAAATATGGTCATTGTGAAGACTACAAATGTTAAGCAATTTGTGTTGTTTTCTGGGGAGAATACACATAAGATCTCGAGACTAAATTTCCAGTTTTTAGATGATGATGGTAATGATTTTTCCACTGCAGCAGGAAAACCTTCACTTCTGAAGCATTTGAATTTAAGAGGGAGCAAATTTGCACTCAATATAACCAATTTTACTGCTCTCGAGACTGTTTTACTTGAAGATATATATATCTTACAGATGATGATGTGGGCAATTTATTAACAAGTTGTTTGTTCCTTAAGAGATTGGATCTCATAACATGTCGCAGTTTTTTCACTCTGAACATCATGGGACCATTCTCGCGACTCAAGATTCTGAATGTGAGGCATTGCAACCAACTTGTTGAGATAGGAATTTGTGCTTCAAATCTTATGGAATTTAGATATCTTGGACAGCTAATATGTTTCTCTCTGAGAGAAGTTTCCAAATTGGTAACAGTGGAGATCAAAATTAAAGAAGATGTCTGCGATATCAGCTCTGAATGTTGCTTAACATGCAGGTTATTTCTATCCATTGTAATATTATTGTCTATCTTGATTATGCTAATTGATTTGGTATATGGATTTCATGAAACCGCTCAAATTAGGGGTCACATATTTGTTGTGTTTCTCATGTAGTTCTCGTGTTTACTGCTTTTATTCTTTGCGTTACTTGCATTTTTCTCTATTTTCTCTTGTAAAGAGATCGAAACTTTGACTTCAGAAAGTTTACTGCTTCATGGTGAGTTTGATCATTGAGAAATATACGTAGTTGTATCGTTGTGAGAAATATGATGATTGAGTTTATGCTAAGGTGTTTTCCTGAATATATTATGAATAGGGGGAAGAGGCTACACAGTATCTCATAGGGAACAAAGATAAATTTCAAGCTGTTGGGTATGTTTCAGAGACCCAAGGCTATCAGACTTCCACCTATGTCGGCGATAAAATTGTAAGTTCATGTGATTGACATCTTTCTATGGTTTTGCTGCATTATGTGATAAATATCTTGCAAGATCTAATTGTGTCAACTTTCATTGTTCAGTATTTAATTGGAGGATCTGAGGAATATGCTGGCTCAGTGATTGGAGTCAAAATTCTTGATAAGTTAACATGAAAATTGTGAGATTCAATCTCAACTAATTCTTGCTCATTTGCTACTTTAGCATATAGTGTTTAATTATTTAAATTTTCATGGAATTGGGAGGTCTTTTCCTACTACATTGGGTACCAAGCCCATTTCATCTGAATGCCACTCAGAAGTTCTTATAAATAAAAATCAGATCTTGATCCTTAAGGGGAGGTCTCATCTTGCTGATTGAAGCTACTTTCTTGAGGTTTGTAATCTTCATATTATTTTCATCTTCTATTTCAGACTTTATGAAATTGACGGTTTATAGTTAATTGCTTGATATGATTTGAATAATGACATATCATTAGAAAACAACATAAGAATCTCAACAGATTTACATAGAGGATGGTGGATTTGATAGCATATTTGAACATCCTTAGAGGTTACTATTGAATATGGTGAAGACAGATCAAATGCATTGGCCAAATGCATGAATTCGAAATCTACATGTGTAATTTATGTGAAATCATTGGTAGCTAATCATCGGCAATACAACATTGTGTTAGCATATTTCGTAGGATATGTATTTTGATGGTAGTTCCAATTCAATCAAATAGTCATAAAAGAGCAAAATAGGTGAATTCGAACAGAAGTGGTAGTTTGGAGTAAGGCGTCAGAGGCAGTGGCCTAAATCTAATTGTAATCAGTGGCCCCTCAAGAGTCGGCAAGGGAACTCTGATATCAAAGCTAATGAAAGAATACCCATCAATGTTTGGGTTTTCTGTAAGCCACACAAGTCGAGCTCCGAGAGAGATAGAAGTCAATGGGGTTCACTACCATTTCACTGAACAAAGCCTAATGGAGAAAGCTATACAAGAAGGGAGATTCCTTAAATCTGCATCAGTACATGGTAATCTTTATGGCACGACCATTGAGGCAGTTGAAGCAGTAACAGATTCTGGCAATGTAAAAATTTGAATACCCCTTGTATATATGAGATTTTAGAGTGTTTTAAAAAGCATAACTCACTATGCAGACATACATTCTATTATATTGTAAATCTTATGTAGTGTAGTTGTGTCTTGTTGTGCTTTATGTAGGGGAACAGAAACTTAGGAACAAGTTCAAAAGAGTCTAAGAAATGCAAAAGCTGGGCTCGAGCAAGGAAGAGGCCAAGGTTTTTTTTGACCATGTATTGGTTAATGATGACCTTGAAACGTGCTATCAGAATATGAAATTTCTTTTTTCACCTTCCCTCTTTACATAAAGTCGTACATTTCAATATTCTAAAGTCTTATGTTTTGTCGAACATTTCTCTAATAAAACATACATTTCATGCAGATATTACTTGCCCTAGATGAAACCCCTAATGTCTCTAATGAGTCAAGTAAAATTTATATTACTAATGGTTCATTTATTTTTCTTTTCATTTCTTTGTTCCAGTTTGTTGAAATTATAAATTTTTAATAATATCATTAATGCTTAATTCTCTTGTATCTTGCAGCATTGGATAAAATTCCTCTTAATCATTATGTGTCTAAAAATGATCAAAAGATTCTAAAAAACTATGGCGGGGGTCAATTAGAATCTTCAACTCCTAGCATGTATGTTGATTTCACTATGCTCTGGAGATTAATACTTGAACCATTCATTTTAGTAAATTCAAGCTGCTGCTTCTCTTGTACGTTTTTCATAGATGCATCTTCACTTAAACGAGGTGCTCTTCGCCAGACAATGGGACTAATTATCTCTGCAATCAAATCATCGACAGATAATATTAATGGGTTCGCACAACTTTAATAATCCATACATCAAGCAATTGGAGCAAGATATCTGCACTATCACAGACATGTTATTGATTTTGTATTACGATATAAAAGATGAAATAGAATAGTGTTTGAACAACAATAGAGCTAGCATGTTAAGTTGCAGTTGAGACGTGGTTATGTTTCAGTCGTTGCTATTAGATAAATCATTATGTTACGTGATATAAGTGAAATCAGATTGCAAAATTTTGTCTCATGGATGGTGTTGCCTACAGTTATAGTATCATTGTTTTTAGCCTGTGATAAGTCGGCATCAGTGGATCCATGCGACATCTGAAATTTATTATGATAAGAAACTTATTAGAGCCCAATATGAGAGAACTCTACAGGAAATATCAATTAAAGCTTAACAATATATGTAAAGACAATTCTTTTTCTTTTTAATTATAGTATCATGGTTTTCCGCCTTTGGTTTCATCTGCAATTGATTTAATCAATGATAGAACTACTATTTCAAGAGTATGATTCTTTGGTTCTTTGCCTTCTCAAAAATTCTTGCTCTATACTATCTTCATAATTTTTTAGAATCTTACAATTTACTTTGATTCAATGAATTTCATAAACATGTAATCAAAAAATATCATGCTCCTAATTGGTTTAAGTAGCTTGCCGCTCAAAAGAAATTTGGAACCATTAAAGATCAAAATATCCATTGGTATTTTGTTGCATGACAATTAATTGTTTTGATGATATAGAAATAAGGATTAAAGAAAAAAATTGATGCTACTATTTTAGTAAAATTTATATTGGAGGATTATGATTAAATAGGTCGTCTAATGTCATCTGTATACAGGTAGCATTGGTCGATTAAAATTCAATGTTGTCGAATATCAAATAAAATTCTTTTATAAAACTATTAATTAATTTCTATTATTAAGGATGAAAACAATATATTATCAAACACTTGATACATAAATGTAATCTCATTATTAAGTCCTTTTGAATTTTTAAATTCCATATGTTTGATATATGGTTTAAATTAAATAAATCTTAATGAAATGAATCAATAATAAAATAATAAATTTAAAAAAATTTACCACGTGCATTGCACGTGCAATCCAACTAGTGCTCCATATATGTGTAGGTATCTCATGGGACTACTTCTACATCATTAAAATAATCACAAACTCTTATTAAATAGGCTAGAATAGATAATTAGTCCATTTAGACCACTAACTACATTATTAGAGAGTTATCTATAAAACTAGAAAAAATCAGACTTCTGAAAACTTAGACCAGATGTTTAAAACCAAAACCAGATGTGTGAGGAACTAAACTAGATGTCTCTGTACTAAAAAATGAGAAACAATATTCTATTATTTAAAATAAGGCACCTCTCATAATCAATAGCTGAAACTACATTTAGATGTTTGGTGTTGGAGTATCGAACATTTGATCTCAAATTAAACATCAGATGTCACCACCAGACGACTCTCATCATCGATTCTGCTGCTATTCTCTATCCAATTCGACTCAATTTAAATTGTTTCACATTGAGACTTCTCATTCCCCTGACAAACAACATTGGAAAACATGTATGTATGTTTTTGACATGTTTCTACCATGTTTCTAAGATCAAACATTCAGAAAACTATGAGAACTTTGGTTTTTATCAAAACCTGTTCATTTTTCTTGATGTTATGTTTGCGTGGGATAAACATTGTTTAATCTCATAAAAAATATTGCAATATAAGAGGAATAACATAGAAAAGAAACCTAAAGATTTAAGCACAAGTTTTTAGGGTATTCGTAGATCCCATTGAATTTGTAAGAGGAAAATAACAAAAGAATTCTCCAAAATAAGGAATCAAGTTAGAGAATCCTTGTCTGAGCTCTGTCACTTCCTTTCCTGTAGAACGCCTACTCTAAAAAAAGAATACATTCTGAGAAAAAAAGGGACCCTAATTTTTGGATTTTTATGGGCTATGAGCCTATTTGCAAAATAACTCACTAACTTATTTTCTTTCTTTTATAACCCTAAGGGTTACATATGCAAATCCCCTTTAAATTAAATCCAGTTCAGGATTAATTTAGGAATATCATTCTAACAAAGTTATACTTTAATGATTTCCATCTTATCAAGTAGACATAAATATTTATTTTGTAAAAATCCCGTCAATTAAATATTTATTTAATCAAAAAAATTTGGCGCATTATAATAATGCTTATAAAATAAGTTTAACCATCACATCAAAGCATACTAAATTAGCAAATCGAAAATGATAGTATCATCAGTCTATGAGACCATATAATAATTTAAATTCTCCTTCTCTTAAGTGACAAGTCCTAGAGAATTCAAATGTGGTCCAATGCCGCACGCATCATAATGTGGGCTTATGACATACACCCAGAGAAGCGCTAAAAGAATCGCAATTCTTGATGGTTAAGACCCACCACCACATCTAACATATCGATACCATGCATAATAACCTATTATTACATAATAACCTTTTACTATTTATAGGGTAAGCACAAGTTTAAAAAATCTCTAAGTGAGATCACATCTCTAAGCAAGTGACCATCACAGTGCATGATTTAAAAACACATTTTCTAAAGATAATATAATAATTATATAAATAATATCCAAAGAATAAGTGCAACAATAAATTCTTTCGAATATGACATAAGTTTCATTAGATGTGCAAGGGCATACTATACTATACTAGCACAGGAGTTGTCAGCAAATACCAATTCCAGAGTTCTTAGCAAGCTTGACCTTATTTCTATCCAACAACCAATTGGATTCAAGAATTAAGAGATAGTAAGAAACCAAATAATAGTTGGATTTTGTCCAACTAAATCAAACCTACCATCAATCGAAAGAGTTCCCTTGTAGCATGGCCTCGGTCAAATCCAACTGAACAAAACACCAAGTCCAACTTGTGCCTTGATGTAATTGACTCACACAAATAAATCTTCACCTTGACTAAAATTCATAGAAAAGTTCCTCACTCTAAAATAAGCTAACTTGCTTCATGTTCTCTTATAGCTTCGTAGAGCATCAAGTGCGGCACATATCGATCAAGTCAAAGCATTTCTTAAACATGCCAACTGAAAGAGGCCTCATCAACAATCGGCTGAATTATTCATATGATGATCATAATACTTAGTAAAACCATCACAAACGTACCACCTGAATAGCTTAGAGGAAATACATTATAAACCGACAATGCATAAGCTACTATATCTTTATGGTAATCGAATATCTTGTTTAGATCCATCTCTTGCAATAGTGTATTTCTGCTCTTCCTACAACTGCTGAGTTGCTTCATCTACTTGAACAAGATCTGACTACTGAACTCCTATCGTCTTATCCTACAAAAGAACTAAATCATAAATTTCTAACCCCACATTCTGTCGTATAGAATGCGCCTTATTTTTATTAATTGAAACTTAGCACTGTTTCAGGTGGAAACTCATCAAAGTGACATTATGACTAATAATAGTTTTAGGAGAATTTGGATTAGAACACCACAACCTAAAATTCTTGACACCTAATACAAAACCTAGAAACATGCACTTCTTTGTTCGAGGCTCAAGTTTTCCTTGACTAACATGTGCATATGTAGAAGAACCAAATATTTTAAGATTAGAATGATCCGCAGGCCTACCCAACCAAACTTCCTCTAGAGTTTAACAAACAATGGCAGTAGACAGTAATCAATTCACTAAGTAGCAAGTTGTATTTATCACTTCCACCTAGTATTCATTGCTTAAACCTGCATTGAACACAATACAACGAGCTTTATCCTAAAAGGTTCTATTAATTATTCTGCAACTCCATTCTCTTGCGGTATACGAGGAAATATTTGATGTCTAATGATTCCTTCATTCTTGCAGAACTCATTAAATTCTTCTCCATGAAACTCAAGACTATTATTAGTTCAAAGCCTCATAATCAGCTTACTAGTTTGCTTCTCCACCAAAGACTTCCAGTGAAAGTCATCAACGCCTCATCTTTATATCTCAAAAAGTAAACCCAAACCTTTCTAAAATAATTATCGATGAAGGTCAATAAATATCTTGAACTATCACCTTTCAAGGCAACTTGAGAAGGTCCCAAAGATTTGAACAAATATAATCAAAGTTCATTAGTTTGATACACTACCATACTGAAGCTTACTCTATTCTACTTCCTAAAGATACAATGCTTGCACATTCCTAGTTTTCATGTACTGTGTCCACATAAAAGTCTCTTTTTGCTCAATTTGGCCAATCTAAGCTCACTCAAATGGCGAAGTCACACATGACATAATCTCATATTATTTACTCTTGATATCGATATTGCAACTTCAGCTAAACTAGTAACAGTGGAACCCTATAAAATATATAGGCTACCAATCTTCTTTCCTTTTATAACTACAAGAGAGTCTTTTATAACCTTAAGAACTTCATCTTCACCTGGAAACTTGCACTTAAGATTATCAAGAGTGCCCAAAGAGATAAAAATCTTCCATAAACTTGAAATATACCTAACATCAGTCAAACTTCTGATGAGTCCATCATGCATCTTAATTCGAACCACCCTTTCCTAATAGCCTTGCATGAGGAGTTATTCCCCATGAGAACAATTCTTCTATAAATATCTTCATAATCATAAGTGATGAACTAGTGCTAATTAGATGACATATGATGGGAATAACCCAAATTTATAATT